GGGGCTGGAAACGGGGGCGGAGGGGGCTTAGGGGGGCTGGGGGTTGGCTGTTGTTTTTTTGAAGGTCTTCATTTCGGCCCCTGGAGAGTGTATGGACGCGCGTCCGCAGAGGCATCGAAAGGTCTGTTTGCGCMTCGGGGAAGGTGGGCGTGGCAACAGATGAAGGGMGTGTCCTCTAAGGAGGTCTGGAGAGGTGCTGTCACACGTGTCGCTGTCGACGACGATGGCARGYGAAGAATCGAGGTCGGGGCCCGTCCGTCTGCTACATGTTGTCGATGCGTTTGCGCCTCCTCCCTCATAAAGGTTGTCCGCTTGCGGCTTCTCCAGCATTGAAGGCCGGCGCACACGGTACACAACTTTTACAACCACGCGGGACGCCCAGTGCCTTTTGTCGTCGTCGCAGCGCACCGCGATCGAGTGCTCGCCCCTTTCATCACACTCCTCCTCGTCCAGGACTTCTTTAGTGCCGTCGACAATCATCGCTGTGGATCTTGTCGTCTTGTCGTTACGTGGACATTCCGCGTCGTGGAAAGCGCTCGCGTTCACCACGGGGAGGTCTGCAGACACCGTTTAAGACGACGTGGTCGCGGACTTCGGCATCATTGTACGCGGACCACTCTCTCCTTCTCGCCCCGGATCCGTAGCGCCCCTTGGGAGGTTTGGCGGCCTTCAGTCGCGAAGATCTTCTTCTCGCCGCGGAGCAGTGTCGGCTGGGTTGATCTCCTTCTCGCGTTGACGTCCACGCCGACCTCGTGTGTGTGGCGAGGGCGTTTCTTCATCGTCGGTGCGAACGCGGGCGATTGAGGCACAGCAGTCTCGCTGGTGTTGCCCAAGCACTTCGGTACACCTGCTCGCGTTGGTCCCCAGCGCGACGAAGGCGGTAGTTCCTCCTCTTCGAGAACGCAGGCGTGGCCACACACGACCATTAAGGGAAGCGGCAAGCATGTCTGCGCGTGGCGGCGCCCGTGGCAAGAAGCGGGAAAACATGCCCGCGGACACTCAGGGGCGGGAAACGGGTCGGCGGCATGTCCCCAAGGCGAAGAGGCTTCGTTCGAAAAAAGCATCAGCAAGCCTGCCTCTTCGGCGAGAGCGATATTGGGCTACAGCTAACGAGGAGGAGGACGACGACGTGTTTACGACGGAGGAAGAAGCAGCAGAGGACACCGTGTCGGCACCTCGGGGAAGCACTCTTCAAAGGTCATCTGATTAGAACGCTGTGAGGAGATTGCCGACGCCCCCTCCGGAAGCGCAACAAGTGCGTGCCCACAATACCCCGAAGGTGAAGGAGGTTGTCGTCGACGTCGGCGGCGAGGACGACGAGCCCTTGGAAAGCCGTAGGCAGCGCAATGTCACACAAGGCGCCACGGCAACGGCGCTCAAGATACGTGGCGCGACTGAAGAAAGGCCACCTCAGCGTGGCCTGCTGTCCACGCCATCTCGGCCGCGTCTGCGCAACACGGCTGCAGAGGGAGGCCCCATGGAACGCGGCGGAGGTGAGGGGGCCCAGCAACAAGCGCGCGTGGCGAGTGGGGGGGCGGTCGCTGGTGCAGCCGCTGGGTCTTTGGGCATTGTTGCTGCCGTGGCAAGAGCGAGAGAGGAGGTCCCTGTTGTGGAGCGGGAGGTGCCACGCGGCGACAACAAGGGTGATAGGGAGGATGAGGACCCTCTTTTAAGCCGGGTTCGGATGGGAGGGATGGCGAAAGATCTCACCGAGTGTACCCGCCTGTGGGTTGATGACAAAGCGTTTTGGATGACGGGGGGGGGGAGAAGACTGTACAACATCGTCCACGAAAAGCGGGAGTACTTTGTCGCCATAGCCAGCGGGCTGCAAGCGCCCGCCGTCCCCCGGAGCGTCGTCTTGCCAAAATCCGCCACGAGCCTGACAAGGATTGCAGATCCCGCACAACTGCAGCAGGCGATCTCCTGCGCGACGGCAGCGGAGAACATTGCTCTACGCGTCTTGCACGGATGGGTCTTCAAGTCCGGGAACCGCCCTCGAGGATACAATCTCGCTTTCCAGTACGTGTTGGAGTCAGTGGCGATGGACATTGTGCGTGCCATGTGGTACGACGAGGAGTGGAGCAACGTCGTGAGTGTGACCGTTTGCGCGCACACAATCAACCTGAACATGGACTTGCCACTGTGGTTTGCGGGCCCGAACATCGAGGATAGGACGGAGGACGACGACATGGCGGCGCACCAAGAGTC